TTTATTTGACAGAGAGGGATCACAAGTAGGCAGAGAGGCAGGCAGAGAGAGTGGTGGGTAGGGGGAAGAAGGCTCCCTGCTGAGCAGAGAGCCCGATGCAGGCCTCCATCCCAGGACCCTGAGATCATGACCTGAGCCGAAGGCAGAGGCTTAACCCACTGAGCCACCCAGGCGCCCTATAGAGCACATTCTTTTTGGCCCAGCAATCACCTCTAGGAACGTACTCTTTAGATATACTCACTGAAGTATATCAAGATATATCCACACACATACAAGATTTCACAGCAATATCGTTTATAAAAGAAAAAAAAATTAGGAAGTTTAAATAATAGCACACCCATCCTATGGAACATCTTGATGTACTGATATGGAAAAACCTCTAATATATTCTAAAGTAAAAAAGAAATTCACGAACTTCAGAAGACCATGCAGATAGCAGTAACGGAGGCGTTAGGCATGTGTAAAAAAAAAAAAAAACTTGGTCAAAAAAAAAAAAAAAAAAACTTAGTCAAAATAACCCTTGAAAATTCCTTAAATAGCCCATAAATAGATCCTCAACTCTATGTTCAACTAATCTTCAACAAAGCAGGAAAGAATGTCCAATGGAAAAAAAGTCTCTTCAACAAATGGTGTGGGGAAAATGAAACCGGACCTTCACCTTCCACCACACACAAAAATAGACTCAAAATGGATGAAAGACCTAAATGTGAAACAGGAATCCCTCAAAATCCTTGAGGAGAACACAGGCAGCAAGCTCTTCAACCTCAGCCACAGCAACTCTTTCCTAGACATATTGCCAAAGGCAAGGGAAGCAAGGGCAAAAATGAACTACTGGGTCTTCATCAAGATAAAAAGCTTTTAGGGGTGCCTGTGTGGCTCAGTGGTTAAATCCTCTGCCTTCGGCTCAGGTCATGATCTCAGGGTCCTGGGATCGAGTCCTGCATCGGGCTCTCTGCTCAGTGGGGAGCCTGCCTCCTCCTCCTCTCTCTCTCTGCCTGCCTCTCTGCCTATTTGTGATCTGTCTGTCAAATAAATTTTAAAAAAAAAAATCTTAAAAAAAAAATCTTTAAAAAAAAAAGATAAAAAGCTTTTACAAACAGCAAAGAAAAAAAATAGTCAACAAAACCGAAAGATAACCAACAGAATGGGAGAAAATATCTGCAAATGACATATCAGATAATGGGCTAGTATCCAAAATCTATAAAGAACTTCTCAAACTCAACACCCAAAGAACAAAGAATCCAATCAAGAAATGGTCAGAGGACATGAACAGACATTTCTGCAAAGAAGACATCCAAATGGCCAACAGACCCATGAAAAAGTGCTCCACATCACTTGGCATCAGGGAAATACAAATCAAAACCACAGTAAGATACCACCTTTCACCGGTCAGAATGGCTAAAACTAACAAGTCAGGAAACGAGAGATGTTGGCAAGGATGAAGAGAAAGGGGAACCCTCCTACACTGTTGGTGGGAATGCAGGCTGGTGCAGCCACTCTGGAAAACAGCATGGAGGTTCCTCAAAAAGTTGAAAACAGAGCTACCCAGCATATTGCACTATTGGGTATTTTACCCCAAAGATACAAATGTAGTGACCCAAAGGGGCACATGCACCCGAATGTTTATAGCAGCAATGTCCACAATAGCCAAACTATGGAAAGAACCTAGATGTCCATCAACAGACGAATGGGTAAAGAAGAGGTGAGATACACACACACACACACACACACACACACACACACACACAGGAATACTATGCAGTCTTCAAAAAAACTGAAATCTTGCCATTTGCAACAACATGGATGGAATTAGAGAGTATTATCCTAAGCGAAATAAGTCAGTCAGAGAGAGACAATTATCTTAGGATCTCACTGATATGAGGACTTTGAGAAACAAGACCGAGGATCATAGAGGAAGGGAGGGGGAAAAAATGAAACAAGATGAAACCAGAGAGGGAGACAAACCGTAAGAGACTCTTAATCTCAGGAAACAAACTGAGGGCTGCTGGAGTGGAGGGAGGTGGGAGCGATGGGGTGGCTGGATGATAGACACTGGGGAGGGTATGTGCTATGGTGAGCACTGTGAATTGTGTAAGACTGATGATTCACAGACCTGTATCCCTGAAATAAGTAATACATTATATGTTAATAAAAAAAAAATAGCCCATAAAGTTCAGTATAGATTTTGAACATATCCAACCTTAAGCAGTAATTTTCATGCAAACCCAAATTTGATAAACAATGAACTAGACTAAAGGAAAAAGGGGGAAAAAAGTGAATTCAGAGGTGCCCAGTTGGCTCAGTTGGTAGAGCATGTGGTTCTTTTTTAAGTAGGCTCCATGCGGGGCCTACTCAGTGCAGGACTTGAACTCACAATTCTGAGATCAAAACCTGAGCCAGGATCAAGAGTTGGACACTCAACTGACCAAGCCACCCAGGCCCCAGAGCATGCAACTCTTGATCTCAGGGTTATAGGTTCAGTACATTGGGTATAGAGATTACTTAAAATCTTAAATTTAAAAAAAATGAGGAACTAGAGTGTATCATGCTAATTGAAGTCACTCAGTCAGAGAAAGACAAATACCATATGATTCACTCATATGTGGAATTTAAGAAACAAAACAGATGTGCAAAGGGGAAGGGGAAGAAAAAATAAGAACAGAGAGGGAGGCAAACCATAAAAGACTTTCTAGTTAAGACAGCAAACCGAGGGTTGCTGGAGGGGTGGTGGGTGGGGGATGGGCTAAATGGGTGATGGGTAGTAAGGAGGGCACTTACTTGGATGAGCACTGGGGGTTATATGTTAAGTGATGAATCACTAAGTTCAACTCCTGAAACCAATACTACATTATATGTTAACTTGAACTTAAATAAAATTTAAAAGTGAATTTAGCTATCTGAACAATAAAATGATCATGCCTTAAAAAATAAATTAATAAAAAATGATCATGCCTTTAATAAACCATACAGTTGGGGCGCCTGGGTGGCTCAGTGGGTTAAAGCCTCTGCCTTCGGCTCAGGTCATGATCCCAGGGTCCTGGGATCGAGCCCCGCATCGGGCTCTCTGCTCAGCAGGGAGCCTGCTTCCCCCTCTCTCTCTCCCTGCCTCTCTGCCTACTTGTGATCTCTGTCAAATAAATAAATAAGTTCTTTAAAAAAAGAACAACCATACAGTCTTTAGCATCACATGGGAGATGGGCGGAAAATAATACACATTCCCCTTTTACTCTAATCTGTTTTAATATTTACCCTTTATGATCTTAAATGTAAGTATTATTTTTATTGTGTGATTGTACATTGCTGAGTCCTTGGCACTTGGAATAGTACCCGAAATGTAATACAACCTTAGAATTTGTCAAATGAATAAATGAGAAATAAAGTAATAAGCGCTTAGCATAATAAGGTCTAGGTCAAAGTGCTCACTAGGTGAATGCCACATTAGAATTGAAATCTTGCTTATTAGACTCGTAATATAAATTGTTCTTTGAATTTATAGAAACAAAAATAGCTTTATCTTTTCTTTTTTAAAGCCAACTCTATCCCCAATGTGAAATTCAAACTCACAACTCGACCCTGAGATCAAGAGTCACATGTTCTACTGACTGGGCCAGCCTGGCACCCCAATAGCTTTATCTTTTTGAGAACCTGTATTTCCTTTGTGGTTTTAGTGAACTACTCTTTTCTATGGCCTTGGAAATTGCTATCGAGATTTTTAAGATTTTATTTATTTATTTGACAGAGAGAGAGACCACAAGTAGGCAGAGAGGCAGGCAGAGGGGTAGGGGGAAGCAGGCTCCCTGCTGAGCAGAAAGCCTGACGCAGGGCTTGATCCCAGGACCCTGAGATCATGACCTGAGTGGAAGGCAGAGGCTTAACCCACTGGGCCACCGAGGGGCCCCGGTCTCGAGATTTCTTAATCTCATCTTTAGCAGTGAAGTCTCCATTCCAGTTAGGATTTCTATTGAGTTTGTTACAAATGATATATACGTACATGTATATGACTAATATATATGATGAGATATTCACATATGAATTTGCTATGAGGTTCACTAAGGTTTACTAACTCTGAGGACTGATACTTGGGAGAGGGAGGAAATTGTGCTATTTGAATTTTTAATCACATAAAACATCAAAGGGGGTTATACAGGTGTTCAGATTACGGGCACTACAGCTTTCTTTTGCTTTTCTGTAGTGTGTTTTTGTTTTTTTAACATGTCAGTGATACTTTCAATCTAAACTAAACCTTCCGGGGCTCATCGCAGGTACTTGGGAATATGTTCAATCAGGGCACAAGGACGAAGCTCCTAGCCCCAAGCACAGACTGTAGAACAAGGAGGAAGGGAGAAAGACAGAACACTGTTGCTCCTGCCTGTCTTTCTAGCAACCCGGCAACACCTGAATGCAGCAGATCCAACCACATTGCAGGAAGTTAAGCCCCAACTCTAGCATAAAACTTTCCACTTCTCACAATGTTAGCTCCTTCTCAAAACAGTCTGAAAACGATCTCTCCACAGATATTTTGGAAATTTGATTTCTCTTGTTCTGGGGAAAATATACTAAATGAACTTCTGAATTATCTAATTTGAATACATTAAATAAGAGTCTTAAGCGTTTAAAGCTACAATGTATTAAACTGAACCTAACTTTCGTTTATCTTTAAGGTTTTTTTTATTTATTTATTTTTAAGATTTTATTTACTTATTTGACACAGAGAGAGAGATCACAAGTAGGCAGAGGGGCAGGCAGAGGGAGAGAGGGAAGCAGACTCCCTGCTGAGCAGAGAACCCGATGTGGGGCTCAATCCCAGGACCCTGAGATCAGAACCTGAGCCAAAGGCAGAGGCTTAACCCACTGAGCCACCCAGGTACCCTAAGGTTTTTTATTTTAATAGTTCATATCTTTCTTTCTATATTTAAACTCTTCTGCCTACTTGGTTTGGCACACTCCTACCTTTAAAAAAGTCAATGACTACATAGATGAAGGAAAAAAAGAGAAATTACTCGCTAAGTTTGTTGCCAAGTTCTTGAAGAGCTTGCTCCTGTTCATGATATATTTTTTTCAACTGCTGATTTTCATCCTGGATGTTAAGGAACTCCTTCAAAACAATAAAAGACAGAAAATGCAATTTAAAAGAAATAAACAAGAAACTCCCCACCGTATACATACTAATAATTAGGAACATATATATCCTTTAGCTTTTTTTTTTTTTTTTAAGATTTTGTTTATTTATTTATTTGACAGAGATCACAAGTAGGCAGAGAGGCAGGCAGAGAGAGAGGAGGAAGCAGGCTCCCTGCTGAGCAGAGAGCCCGATTCGGGGCTCGATCCCAGGACCCTGGGATCATGACCTGAGCCGAAGGCAGAGGCTTTAACCCACTGAGCCACCCAGGCGCCCCTCCTTTAGCTTTTTATAAAAAATAGAACTCTATGTCCAAGCTCTCTCATAGCTATACCATCAACTATCACCTATTTTCCATTCATTTAAACTCTACTAGTTTTCTTTTTTTAAAAAACTTATTTTGGGAGGAGGGAAGGACAGAAGGAATCTCAAGCCGGAGCCTAGTAGAGGGCTCAGGGCTCAATTCCACGACCCTGAGATCATGACTTGAGCTGAAACCAAAAGTCAGATGCTCAGCTGACTGAGCCACCCAGGTGTCCCATGATTTTTTTTTTTTTTAAAGTAAACTCTCGACCCAACATGGGGCTTGAACTCATGAATCCAGCCAGGCACCCCTTCTTATTGGTATTTTTAAATACAACCAGTATATTCTGCCTCTTTAGTATAAATATAAATTATGATTTCTTTTTTTATTAAAGATTTTGTTTATTTATTTGACACATAGGTGGAGATCACAAATAGGTGGAGAGGCAGGGAGAGAGAGAAGGGGAAGCAGGCTGCTGAGCAGAGAGCCTGATGTGGAAGCTCAATCCCAGGACCCTGAGATCATGACCTGAGCCGAAGGCAGAGGCTTTAACCCACTGAGCCACCCAGGTGCCCCTCTCTTTTTGAGTAACTTAGTTTTCAAAGATACAATTTTTAAAGTTTTACCACCATTTACTTTTTTAAGATCAATGATTTGTTGGGTCTCATTTCGAAGATGAGATAAGGCATCTTTCTCCTTTTGAAGATCTTCCTGCAAAGTCTGCCTCCATTCCTTCTCAATCTTCAAATCAGTTTCCAGCTGCACCCTTAAAGGACAAACACACAGAAATTTAGTGCTATTTCTCACAGAACAGCCGTCTGCTTTCTTTAATAACACCATCTTTTTTATTATTTTCACTTTTGTACATTTCTTCAAGTATTTTCTTTCAAAAATGTTTTTTTGTAAACAAGTTCAGCAGCACAGGATTTTCTGATCCCAACTTATCAATATATTTGCCAACCACAAAAATTCCTGGCTAAACAATAACTTGTCACTTTTTATTTCTGTGTACATAAATGCTATATGAGCAGAGAAAATGCCTGGAAGTATATACCACACTATTAATACTGGTTGTATCTTGGGGGAATGAAACAAAGGAGAAAAATCTGAAGTTTTAATTATTTACATTTCTGTGCCATGTGCAAAATTTTACAACGAACTATTGTTCTAAGAATTACAGCAATCACTAAACCAGTTAAACATAGTCACAGAAAAATCAAACCTGGTACAGAGTGCTACTTTACAGATTGCTTACAGGACAGAGCTAAGCCCAAAGAGACACCTGAGGAAAACCCATACTGCTCAGAAATGCCAATTCACATTTCAAAGTGCTACCTCATCATTCTAACAGGTGCTATCTGGCAAAACAAAAGTAGTCAAATTCCTACACTTTAAGATACCAAGAAGAAATCATTTTGAAAATTATTGCTCACAGGTAGGTATAACAGATGAGGCATAAACAATGCTACAATTTCTAATACATTAAATTTCATTTATTTATTTTTTTAAGATTTTATTTATTTATATGACACAGAGAGAGAGAGACAGAGCCAAAAGCAGGGGAGGCAGCAGGCAGAGGCAGAGGGAGAAGCAGGCTCTCTGCCATGCAGGGCTGGATCCCAAGACCGCAGGATCATGACCCAAGCTAAAGGCAGATGCTCAACCGACTGAGACACCCAGGCACCCTCTAATAAATTTTAATAGCAATATGTAATATTGAGACTATCACAATATAACATTTTAATACTCTTCTGTTAATATCCTAATTACTTTTTTTCCTCATAATGTTAGCATTTCCATCTATGGCCACATTATTTCTCTGTGAAGTGAATTTCAGACTTTATAATTCAGGTTGCAGAGAAAAGATCCCCCTAAATGGAATTTACAGATTGTTGATTAATACTATTTCACTACAAATTCAAAAGGAATACAGAGACAGGTACATGTTACTAACACTGAAGGAACGAAAGTATGGAGTGCCTTGAGTGGCCTTATCATCCAGAACCAGAAAAAAACTGAGTGAAAAAGCAAAGGAAAAGTATTTTTAAGTTATTATAAATATATTGTCAAAATACACATTGACCACCAAAGGCAGAAACCAAAAAGAGAAAAAGGAAAAATACAACTACTGAAAATTTAAAATGTCTAAATGAACAAAGTTTAAAAACAGTAAATTTTGGGGTACCTGGCTCAGTGGGTTAAAGCTTCTGCCTTCAGCCGGGTCATGATCCCAGGGTCCTGGGATCGAGCCATGCATCGGGCTCTCTGCTCAGCGGGGAGCCTGTTTCCCTTCCTCTCTCTCTCTCTGCCTGCCTCTCTGCCTACTTGTGATCTCTGTCTGTCAAATAAATAAATAAAAATCTTTATAGAAAAAAATAAAAGCAGTAAATTTAGAAACTATTTCACGGCATGTGAAATGCCCAGAGTAAAGAACTCTTATAAACAAATATTAATAAGCTGAACACTCCAAGGAAAAAAGTAAATGATATGAACTGGCAATTCACAAAATAAATACAAATGGATCTCACCAATAATCAAAGATATGCAAACTCCAATGACAAAGCACAATTTTTCAGGCTAAAGGATTCCTCTACGTTAACTGATACGATGGTACAGACCTATACTAATTGATACGACACACTGCCCATGACACAACACATGCAATAAAGATGGCACTAAAGAACATGTTGTGTGACCCTCTTTCTGAAATACATAAAAGCATCTCTGCATGGCAAAAAAAGGGTATTCATCAAAATGTTAAAAAAAAACTGTCTCTAATTTTTATTTTCTTCACATTTTCCTACACTTTCCAACAACATGTAATACTTCTGTAGTCAGAAATCATTTATTTCCATTTTAGGGGGAAAAAAATGGAATTCGTTCAGCTGCCCCCTTCTACAGAAACAGTTCCAGTTTTTCTGAACCATCAGGGATTCCCCTGATCTCCAAATTGTTCACATGGTCATGCTTTACCAACAGGACACCAACTGACAGACAAAATTACTTGGCTTATTACACGGTTTTAGCAGAAAGAAACCTCTTCTCTCTATAGCAGTATCCAAGATTTAGTGACCAGGTTAGCCCCATAGCAGTAGGAACCCCAGAAGGCACAGAATAACATGGTGATGAGTTCCCTGAGGCTTCTTTTTGCCTCCTATATAGCTCAGAGTGGGTGTTGAAGAAGCCACTACCTGTAATGGATATAGACAAAAAAAAAAAAAAAGAGAGAGAGAAAAGAAAAGAAAAAAGTCCCAAGAAAAGTCTGCTCTCTCTTGCTAAATAACTGAGAAAAAGTAGCCTAGCATTGATAGAAACAAGATGGGACTGGGGAGGGAGACAAACTATAAGAGACTCTTAATCTCAGGAAACAAACTGAGGGTTGCTGGGAGGTGGGGGAGGAGGGATGGGGTGGCTGGATTATGGACACTGGGGAGGGTATGTGCTATGGTGATTGCTGTGAATTATGTAAGACTGGTGATTCACAGACCTGTACCCCTGAAGCAAATAATACATTATATGTTAATTGAAAAAAAAAAAAAAAAAGCATTTTGACAGTAAAGGCCCTATTATAGCAAAACAAAAAACAAAAAAACCCAGAGGAAAAAACCATAGGGCCCCAACCACTGTCAGCAAAGGCCAAGTGGGGAATTTAGATTTCCATCCTCACCTGGCAATAATAAAGTGTCTCTCCCACCCCCCAACATGGTAATATCAGAAAAGGTCAAGGGGCAAGCTGGGATTTTGAATACTGCCCAGCACCCTCTCTTATGGAGACCACATTGGGAACCCGGACTTTTAACCCACATCAATAACAAGGTATTTCTCACCCTCCCCAGGTCAGTGAAAGCCAAGTGAGAAGCCTAGATTTCTATTCCTGCCCAGTGAAATGAGGCACCTCTACCTCTCTCCTCCAGAATGGTGTCCACAGACAGAAGCCTAGACTTCCACCCCTACTTGAGAGAAACAAGGCACCACTCTTCTTTTCCACAATGTCAGTAGAGACTGATTGGAAAGCACGGATTTCAATCCCTGCCCAGTAGTTAGGCACCCTTCTCCATTCCATCCAGAATGGTTCTAGGATTCTACTATCCCTACTTGGTATAAAGAGTGAGTTTCAGGGCACCTTGGTGGCTCAGTCAGACGCCGTAAGTGTCTGACTCTTGGTTTGGCTCAGGTCACGATCTTAGGGGTCATGAAATTGAGCCCTAATTCAGGCTCCACGCTCAGTGTAGTGTTTGTTTGAGATCCTCTCTCCCCCTCCCTCTGCCCTTGCACCTCCTGCTTGCACCTAAAATAAATAAATACATCTTAAAGAGAGAGAGAAAGAGGGAGAGAGAGTCAGCATCTGTATTCCCCTGCTCGTGTAGCTTCAGTGGAGAACTGCTAAAATTTAAATAAGATGTAGTCTCGTAACATAATTCTCAGTATGTCCAGAATGCACTGAAAAACACTTGTTATATCAAGACCCAAGAAATAACGTGGATGAGGAAAAAAAAGATGCCAACATGTCAGATAATTCTGAAGAGATAAGAATTTTAAAGCAGTCATCATGAAAATGCTCCTATGACCAATTAAGAACACACCTGAAACAAAACAGTAAGTTTAAGCATAAAAGATCAGATGAAATTGGGCACGTTCAGGATGGAATGGCTGTAGACTATTAAAAAAGAGAGAGAGGAAGGAAACATAGTCAAATGGATATATACAATAACCTCACTAAATGGGCTCAGTAGGAGAATGATGATGAGGAGGAAAGAATGGATTTCAAAACACTACAACCGTAAGGGCACCTGGCTGGCTCAGTCAGTAGAGCACGCAACTCTTGATCTCAGAATTGTGAGTTCAAGCCTCACATTGGGCACAGAACCTACTTAAAAAAACAACAACAACACTACAATAGAAATCACCCAATCTGAACAAGAGAGGAGAAAATAAACTGGGGGAAAAAACTGTCTGAGACCTATAGGATTATTTAAAACAAAAAATCTAATATTCAAGGTCATCAGAATTCCAGAGAAGAGAGGGGAGGCTGAGTCTGGGTGGCTCAGTTGGTTAAGCATCCGACTCTTGATTTTGGCTCCAGTTATGATTTCAGGGTCGTGAGATCAAGCACCATGTCAGACTCCACGCTCAGCAAGGAGTCTGCTTAGAATTCTCCCTCTCCCTCTGTCTCTGGCCCTCCCCACTCCCTTTCTCCCTGTCTAAATAAATCTTTTTTTTTAAAGATTTTAATTTATTTATTTGAGAGAGAAAGAACATGAGTGGGGAGGAGGGGCAGAGGGAGAGGAAGAAGCAGGCTCTCCATTGAGAAGGAAGCCTCATGTAGGTCTCAACCCAAGGAACCCTGGGATCATAACCCAAGTCAAAGCAAATGCTTCACCGACTGAGCGCTAAAGTGAGTAAATCAAACAAACAAACGAAAGAATTCCAGTAGAAAGGAAGCAATTGGACTGGAAAAATATCTAGAAAAAAGAGAGCTGAAAAATATCCAAATTTGGTAAAGATAAACAGAAAGATTGAAGAAGCCGACCAAAGCTTAAAAAAGATAAATCCAAAGAAATAATCTTGGATAGAGTAACAGTCATTCAAATGACAGTATTTTTCATCAGAAACTACAAAAACCAAAAGAAAATGGTACCACAGTTTTCAAGTGCTGAAAGAAAGGAACTGTCAATTCAGAATTCTAAGGAAAGTCTGAAAAGATCTTTCAGAAATGAAGATGAAATCAAGATCTCATATGAAAAAAAATAAGTAAGAGAATTTGTTGCCAAGAGACCCACCCTAAAAGAAACACAAAAGAAGTTCTTCAGATACAGAAGAAAACTTATATCAGGAATGAAGAAAGAACAATAAGCAAAGTTTCCTAAATTATATATAATGTTTGAAGCACAAACTATAAAATTGTCTGATGTGGGAGCACATAGCTAGCTCAGCCATAAAGCATGAGACTCTTGATCTCAGTCATGAGTTCAAACCCAACACTGGGCTTAGAGTTTACATCTTAAAAAAAAAAAAAAAAAACCTTTCTAATATTGTCTGATGTGGTTCTCAATATTATGCAGAGAAAATATTTAAGTCAATTATGTTATAAAAGAAAAAGAGTAAAAAGATCTAAGTGGAAGTAAGACTTCCACACTTCATTCAAAGTAGTAAAATACTGGTACCAGTAGACTGAAAATCTGCAAATATATAAGACAGTATCTACAGCAATCATGAGAAAATCTATATGAAGAGATACACTCAAAAACACTATAGATAAATCAAAAAGGAATTATAAATAATATTCAAGTAATCCCTGGGGGAGGCAGGAAAAAAGAAATAAAGGAAGGAAAAACAAAACAACAAAAAAACAATAAAAGAGCAGACTTATGCTCTCATACCAACAATTACACTAAATGTAAATGAACTAAATATATCATTAAGAGATTGTCAGAACAGATAAAAAAACATGAACTATAAGAAACTTACTTCAAATATACTGATGATAATAATAAAGATTAGGCTGATAGTTTAAATACTGAAAAATGCAAGCAGTCATGTTTTATTATATGACAATACTAATCAAAAGAAAGCAGAAGCAGCTCTATTAACATCTGATAAAGAAAATTACCAGAGATAAACATATCATATCATGGCTTATAAAAGGCTCATAAAAGGCATATATTGTTTTGATAAAAAGGTCAATTCGCCAAAAAGACATAGCAATCCTAAATGTGTCGGCACCAAACAACAGAATACAAGAAGCTTCAGAATACAAGAAGCAAAAACCGTTAGAACTGAAAGTAGAAACACACAAATCCACAGTTACAGATGGGATATTCAACATATCCCCTCTCAATAATTGACAGAACTATTAGGAAATTCGCACGAACAGAGAGGAGTTTAATGCCACCTCAACCAATGGGTCTCAAGACAGCTTAGCAAGTTATATATCATAAATGGCATGTAGTCTTGTTTATGATCTGTTAAACATAATACGTAACTATTTGCTATTGTTGCTTTAATAACAAAAGAAGTAACATGTTTACTAGGAGAAAATACTGATGTTTATAAAGTAAAAACTAAAATACCCCTGTCAATCTGCCATCACTCCCCTGAGATAATCAGTCCCCAGAATCTATATTCTTTAAGCACATGCACACACACACACACGCATATGTGCTTATTTAAATATATATGCATATGTGCATAGTTATTATACACATAACTATGCATATATGCACAGTTTTAATTTTATAAAAATTGGGATACCTCACATACTGTCTGCAACTTGCTTTTTTCAGTCCAGTGACATATATGGACATCATTCTTAGCTTGTAAGAAATATCTAAAGTATTAATAAAAACGTTCTCAGAAAATCTCGTTTTTTGATAATACAAGTTCCTTTGAGTTACAAAGGTCTATTACACTCAATATCTAGAAGTATAATGGCCATCTGCTGTTATGCACCAGCAGAAAGAATAAAATTCTCCTTGAGCAAGATAACAAGAGAGTTGAAAAGCTCTGAAAACAATAAAGGGACAAAAAACTCAAGTTTATCAATCATGTTTCCTAATTTTTTTTTTAATTTCTCAAAGAGAACTCCATCATCTACCTGGCATCATTAACTAAAGGAAAATATAGGTATCCTACCATTATGGGCAAAAAAGAAGGGGTGGGGGCGCCTGTGTGGCTCAGTGGGTTAAGCCTCTGCCTTCGGTTCAGGTCATGATCTCAGGGTCCTGGGATCGAGAACCACATCACATCACACTCTTTGCTCAGCAGGGAGCCTGCTTTCCCCTCTCTCTCTCTCTCTCTCTCTCTCTCTGCCTCTCTGCCTACTTGTGATCTCTTTCAAATAAATAAATAAAATCTAAAAAAAGGGGAGGGGCTGGGGAGGGGATTATGTTAATACAAGCATTTGTTTCCAAGAGTGAAATACTCACAGCTGTTTCTCCTTTTGGGAGACTTGTTTCTGCAGATTGTCGGATTTACTCTGACACTCTTGTAGATACTTCTTGTCTTCATCTTCAGCTTCCATTTGCGCCTTCTCTGCTTGCTGCAATCTGGTGTAATTCAAATCAACTTTGGGTAAAACTGAGGCTAGAACTAGGGTGTAAAAGGGTGAAGAAGACAAATAAAAGAAAAATGGGGAAATAGAAACATTTCTAAATGAAAACAAAGTTTGGGGGGAAACTCACAAACTCAAACGTGAAAGAGCCACACAATGTCTAGAAATTGTTTTGTGATTTTTTTTTCAATATAACATATAATATGCCCAGAATACTATCTTCAAATTTGTTTTATTTCTTATTCATAATTAACAATGCAAAGCAATACAGTCTTTACCACTTACGTAGAGCAGATGGATTAACTTTGAAAGTATAATGGGTGCGTTACTGCCTTTTTTACAAAACCATGTAAAGCACAGTCTTTATGACTACACTAAGTGAAGAAGCCACACTGTTATTTATTATGTTAGGATGTGTATGCCAGGAATCAAGTGTGCTACAAGGCCAAGAGCAAAGACCTGCAATTATTTTGAACAGCCAAGTCTCCCTATAGGATCTTTATGCATTTACTAATTTATGCCAAAAGCTCTGTGTGTGTGTGTGTGTGTGTGTGTAAGATTCAAAAGAATATAGTACTAGTTGGCAACATTCTCTAAAGATCATTTTTGTTCATCGCTGATGTTTAAATATTACCTAAAAATGTGATTTTCATTTGTTCTGTTTTTGTTTGTAAGTCATTGATTCTCCCTCTGCTTAGCTCCACTCCCTGCCTCCCATCTAGGATTCCTTCGATTTAACTTCAATATTTTTATAAGAAAACATTTCCCACTTAATTAAAGAGACATTAACTCCTTGTAGGGAATCTCAGGCAAAATCATCTGTTCAACTAGCTGAAAACACGGCCTCTTCTTTTCTTCCTAAAAACATGCCAGTGGGGCAACCTGACACATTTCAGAAGTATAAATGCCACTTCTGAGCAAAAGAGAGTAACATTCAAGTTATCTCTAAATCAAAATTTAATTTTAAAATATTAACGTGGAGGGACAGGGGACCCAAGCATTTCTCTAAGATTACAGGAACTAAAATAAAACTCAGAGTGAGGTAGGGCTTGAAGTTGTGCTATCATAGAAGAGGGCTAAGGGAATTGGAAAACTGAGGTGCTAGAGCACAAGAGAATGGCCAATCTGCATTATAAACTATTTTAAGACATCAGTAAAAAATCAGTAAAGAAGCCATTAGGCAAGGAGTGGGCCAACGGGGAAAAAAAAATGTGCCAACACACTGTGAAATCAAAGGGTGAACTTATTTTTAAACAATGTTTATATTTTCCATCAAAAAGTAGCTAAAAAGATAAAACTGCACTTGAAAATCCTGACCTCCAAAAGGCCAATACTCAAATCAGCCTTTGTGCACAAGGTTTGAGGAGTATGTTTTTGGAAATCCAAGTGCACCCACTCTGCTCTATGGCAGTGCATTACCACAGCAGCAGATCAAGAAGTGGAGAGGGTTCCTAATACCCTTTTCAAATACTTAATAGCATAAATTATTTTCTATTTAATATATTATAAAATTGTTGAGTCTCTTTTAGTCTGTTTAAATACAAGTGGTTTTCAGAAAGATATATCTTTGACCAGCTTATACTGGTCCTGAGTGTCACTGCTGGCATATTTCACCAATGACATTGCAATTGTCCTAGTTTGAGTTAACAAATCATTGTCACTTCATAATGGAATGGACAGAAATCAAAGACAGAAAAAGGTAATAAAGATGTCCAAAATGTAAAAATGGGGATAAAGAAAACAAAAAAGAAAAAAGAAGAAAGAGGATGTCAATAAAAGAATATTCATGTCAATAAAGCATTAATAGTTATGTTTTTCATAAGTAGATTCAAAGAAAGCAATGATAAGACATATGTTGACACCAACATGACAGGTCAATGGAAATACATTACATTTTCCAACAATAAAAGTGAAAAATGCCAATATAAAACAATTCAATTTAAATAAAATTATTTCTTGGTTTGGGTTGAAGTCCTAGCTCAAAGAAACACAACTAAACTGCCAACTCAAAGCTTGATTTCAGATAAAGAGATGGTGAATGACAAAGAATATGACAATCAATATGCATGGAAATCAATCAGGGATAATTCCACCATAGATTCTGTTCGTTTTTTACTTTTTTAAAGTATTTGTTTGTGTATTTGTTTTATGTAATAGATTGAACCACATGAAATTGCCAATATTAAATCTTTTTAAAAAATCCACAAAATGGCAAATACAAATGAAATCAGCCTAATATAAAGCAACTTGATTCCATGCAACAACCAAAACAAAAAAGGCAAAATTCTGCTGGGCTTAAAAAAAAGTCCTAATCTAAATTTTCCTAATGGTTTTTGTGGCAGGTGTCAGAGTTGAATAAAGAAAAGGAAGAAAAAAAGGAAAAAGAGAAACTAAGACTGAAAATGCTGTACCTTTGCTCCAGCTGCCTCATGGCTGCAGTGATTTTATTGGTTTTTTCTTCTAGTCGGGCAATTATTTCATTTTTTTCTTTCAAGCCATCTTCAGAACCCTATTTAGAAAGGAAAAAGAACCACTATAGTGGCTTTGATTTTTAAACCTAAATATTTCCAAGTTTTGTATACCATTTTACTATGGAATTTTTACTTTGAAATGAGCACAGCTAATTTGTAGATTAAAATTCTCCTATGATAGGGGCACCTGGGTGGTTCAGTGGTTGAAGCCTCTGCCTTCGGCTCAGGTCATGATCTCAGGGTCCTGGGATCGAGTCCCGCATCAGGCTCTCTGCTCAGCAAGGAGCCTGCCTCCTCCTGTCTCTCTCTGCCTGCCTCTCTGCCTACTTGTGATCTGTCAAATAAATTTAAAAAAATCTTAAAAATAAAATAAAATAAAATACTCCTATGATATAAAGCAGTAGAACCATCAGTCTTCAATTAAAATGGAATTAAAAAAAATACTGCCTTCAGTATTTCTGGAAGACAGCAGAATAAACTCTTGTAAACTATGCTATTTTTCAAATTAAATAAAAAACTTTTGGCAATAAATCTACTTAAACAATGATGTCACTTTATGAGAGAATTCATAACAATTATTATAGTAATGCTTTTTTTTCCTCCCAAGATTTTTTTATTTGAGAGAGAGAGCATGAACAGGGGGGAAGGGCAGAGGGAGAGAGAGAAGCAGAGAGAGAAGCTCCCTCCATTGAGCAGGGAGCCCAATGCGGGGCTGGATCCCAGGACTCTGAGATCATGACCTGAGTGGAAGGCAAACACTTAACTGACTGAGCCACCCAGGTACCCCTATAGTAAAGCATTTCAATCAAAATTAAATCTTTCTCAGGGCGCTTGGCTGGCTCAGTAGGTAAAGCATGTGACTCCTGATCTTGGGGTTGTAGATCTGAGCCCATGTTGCATGCAGGGATTACTTAAAAAAATAAAATCTTTGGGGCACCTGGGTGGCCCAGTGGGTTAAGCCTCTGCCTTCGGCTTGGGTCATGATCTCAGGGTCCTGGGATCGAGCCCCGCATCGGGCTCTCTGCTCAGCAGGGAGCCTGCTTCCCCTTCTTTCTCTGCCTGCCTCTCTGCCTACTTGTGATCTCTGTCAAATAAATAAATAAAATCTTTTAAAAAATAAATAAAATAAAATAAAATCTTAAAAAAAAAAATTAAAGGAGCACCTGGGTGGCTCAGTCAGTTAAGTGTCTGACTTCAGCTCAGGTCATGATCTTGGAGTCCTGGAGTCAGGGCCTGTGCTGGTCTCCACAGTCAGCAGGGAGTGTGCTTCTCCTTCTGCCTCTGCCTCTACCCCTCCCTCGAGCTCATGCTCTCTTTCTCTCAAATAAATAATAGCTTTTTAAGAAAAAATAAATCTTTCTCAGGACTGTAGTATATAAAAGAATTCACAAAAATGTCCTGCATATTTAGACTGAGTTTTCCCAAAAGATTTAATCTTCATACTTAACACCTTTTGGTATTAAAAAAGAAATTCATATAAGTGATTTGTTTATTCTTTGATACCTATTCCATTGCTACACTTCTTAAGCTTCCATATAGAAAAAGAAGCTGCTGGTTTTTATTACTAGTATGGCACAGTTAAAAACCAAACCTTCATAGAAAAAGTCATTTTCTTTTTCTTTTCTTTTTTTTTTTTTTAAGATTTTATTTATTTGACAGAGACACAGCAAGAGAGGAAACAGAAGCAGGGGAGTGGGAGAGGGAGAAGCAGGATCCCCGCTGAGCAGAGAGCCCGATGCGGGGCTCGATCCCAGGACCCCAGAATCATGACCTGAGCTGAAGGCAGATGCTTAACAACTAAGCCACTCAGGTGCCCCAAGTCACTTCCAATTTACATTAAACTCAAGAAATTCTAAGAATTTAAGAATGATCCACCTCCAAAACCTATGAAGAACTTATCAAACTTAACGCCCCCCCAAAATAATCCAGTTACAAAATGAACAGAAAACACAAATAGACACTTCTAAAGAAGATATCCAGATGGCTAACAGACACATAAAAAGATGCTGAATATCACTCATCATCAGAAAATACAAATCAAAACCACAATAAGATACCACCTCACATCTGTCAGAACGGCTAAAACTAACAACACAAGAAACAACAGGTGTTGGCCAGGATGCAGAGAAATGGGAACCCCTTGCACTGTTGGTGGGAACGCAAACTGGTACAGCCACTCTGGAAAACAGTACGGAGGTTCTTCAAAAAGTTAAAAATAGAACTTTTTAAAAAAAAATAGAATACCCTATGATCCTGCAATTGCACTACTAGGTATTTACACAAAGAATACAAAAATATAGAGTTGAAAGGGGTACATGCACCCTGATGTTTATAACAGCATTATCAACAATGTATCAAACTATGGAAAGAGCCCAAATGTCCACTGACCGATGAGTGAATAAAGATGTGGTGTATGTATATGCATGTATGCGTGTGTATATATATAATGGAATATATGACTCAGCCATCAAAAAAGACATCTTAACATTTGCAAGGACATGGATGGAGCTACAGTGTATTATACTAAGTGAAATAAGTTAGAGAAAGACAAATACTGCATCATTTCATTCATATGTGTAATTTAAGAAACAAAACAGATAAACATATGGGAGGGGGTAAGAAAAAAAGAGAGAAACCATAAGACACTCTTAATGACAGAGAACAAATGGAGGGTTGCTGGAGGGAGGTGGGTGCGGGATGGGCTAGAAGGGTGATGGGTATTAAGGAGGGCACTTGAGCACTGGAGGTTGTATATAAGTGATGAATCACTGATTTCTTCTCCACTGCAGGTTAACGGAACTAGAATTTAAATAAAAATTACAAAAAAAAAAAAAAAAGAATGATCCTTACCTGCAACTTTTGATACATTTCTATGTTAATTGCTTTAACTTCCTCTAGTTGTTGCCGAAGGCCTATCAGAGTATCCTGCTTCTCATGGATATCTTTCTCCAACAACTTCATAGCAAGTTCAATTTCATGTTTCATACTAACTTGTACCGCTAGCTCGTTTTCCACATCCTGAAATTTCAACACATCCTCAATTCACATACCACTTCAGGATGTCAAAAGTCAGACACACGACAGTTAATGAGAACACAAAGAGTTTTCTAATCACTATGTAGACTACTCTTTTTTTTTTTAATGGTTTCATGTCATTAGATATATATCTTTTTATTTTTTAAGGATTTTATTTTATTTGTCAGAGAGCACAAGCAAGGACAGCAGCAGGCAGAGGAAAAAGTAGGCTTCCTCCTGAGCAAGGAACCAGAAGAGAGACTCGACCCAGGACCCTGGGATCATGACCTGACCCAAAGGCAGATACTTAACCAAAGAGCCACCCAAGAGTCCCCATAGACCACTCTTAAAAAAATAAAAAAGTTCCACTCAATTTTGCTATGAACCTACTTGAAAAGATACAGTTTATTAATTAAAAAATTTTTTTAAAAGATACATAGACTACTCTTTTGAGATTTAAGCCCCACTAGAGGGAATCAACCAGGTCGTATAACAATATAACACTAAATATTTTCAACTGTGTATTTTGTGAAAATGAAAGCATTTTCTAGATACTGTTAATTATCACTATTCTACTGGTTCAAAAATTAGGGGCACCTGGGTGGCTCCCCCTCTCACTCTCTGACTGCCTCCCTGCCTGCTTATGATCTCTGTCAAATAAATAAATTTTTTTTTAAAGATTTTATTTATTTATTTGATAGATCACAAGCAGGCAGAGAGGCAGGCAGAGAGAGAGGAGGAAGCAGGCTCCCCGCTGAGCAGAAAGCCCGATGCGGGGCTCGATCCCAGGACTCCGAGATCATGACCTGAGCCGAAGGCAGCGGCTTAACCCACTGAGCCACCCAGGCGCCCCTAAATAAATAAATTTTTTAAAAAATTAAATATTTTTATGCCTCATAACGTATTAATTTTCCTTAATCAAAGAAATAAAGTAGTCTGGGGGTGCCTTGCTGGCTCAGTTGGAAGAACACGCAACTCTTGATCTTGGGGTCATGAGCTCCAGCCCCCACACTGGTATAGATATTACCTAAATAAATAAAACTTAAAAAAAAAACCCACACAGAAATAAAGTAGTCCATACAAGTGAAGGCCAAAGAGAACTCAAAAACCCCACTTCACAGTTTTAATTTCTTCTCTTAAAGAATTTTACATTGGGGGTGGGGCAATGAAGTGACCTGATGATGGGCATGAAGGGGGGCACGTGATGTGCTGAGCACTGGGTGTTATATGCTCCTGATGAATCACTGACCTCTACCTCTGAAGCAAATAATAAACTATATGTTCAACTGACATTTTTTTAAAAAAGATTTTATATGACAGAGAGAGACACAGCAAGAAAGGGAACAAAACCAGGGGGAGTGGGAGAAGGAGGAGGAGAAGCAGGCTGACTGCCAAGCAGGGAGCCCAATGTGGGGCTCGATCCCAGGACTCTGGGATCAGGACCTGAGCCGAAGGCAAATGCTTAACTACTGAGCCACCCAGGAGCCCCTCAATCGAATTTAAATAGAACTAAATTAATTTTTTACATCAAAACAAAAAGAAGTTTCCTAATATTAAAAACAAACAGAAAAAGGGATGGAAAGGCTGGCAAGATGGAAAGTCTCTTCTTGATCTGGGTGGTGATTACACAGGTATTTATGTTATAACCCATTATGCTGTACATTTGTATTTTGCTGTAGGCATTAGATCAATTTGAGTTTAAAAATTCGTTAATTTTTAAAAAGATTTTATTTATTTATTAATTTATTTCAGAGCGAGAGAAAGCGAGTGAGCGAGGATGAGCTGGGAAGGGGTCAGGAAGGGGGAGAGAGAATCCCAAGCAGACTCTGCACTGAGCACACAGATCACTGCAGGGCTCCATCACACCACCCTGAGATCACAACCTGCTCTAAAATCGAGAGTCTGACGCTCAACTGACTGAGTCACCCAGGTACCCCATTCATTTTTTTAGAAGTAACTTCTATGCCCAACATGGGGCTGGAAATTACCCCAAGATCAAGAGTCGCGTGCTCTACCAACTGAGCCAGCCAGGCACCCCAAAAATAAGTTAATTTTAAATATGATCTGGAGCACGTGGGGGGCTCAGTCAGTTGAGCCTCTGCCTTCAGCTCAGGTCATGATCTCAGGGTCCTCGTCAGGCTCTCTGCCCAGTGACAAGTCTGTTTCTCCCTCTCCCTCTGTGATCTCTCGCTTTCACTCTCTCTCAAATAAGTAAAATCTTAAAAAAATTGTTTTAATACCATTTTAGTCCTATTTGAATCGATCATTCTATTCAATTCTGGTTTTCTAATGCTGGTCACAATCATTCATTTCAGAGTTTAAAACCACTTTAAAAACACTTGATAAAATGGGAACGTAAAGAATTTGAAGGGGTTGTAAGGGGGTGAGATTTCTATCCCACAGCAAGGAAGATAAGGCTGAAAAAGAGATTTTTAGGGGTGCCTGGGTGGCTCAGTCAGTTTGTCTGCTTTGGCTCAGGTCATGATCCCAGAGTCCTAGGATCAAGGTCCACATAGGGCTCCCTGCTCCGTAGAGAGTCTGCTTCTTCCTCTGCCCCTCACCCAACTTGTGCTCTTTCACTCTGTCTCTATCACATAAAAAAAAAAAAAAGTCTTAAAAAAAATTTTTTAAAAGATTTTAAGTGATACTTAAGGGTAAATTATGATGATGATGATTATTTTGCTAATGTAAACTACCTGTCTTAACTGAGATTCATCTCGAAGCTGCCTTCTGGCTTCGTTGTACATTTCATCCAGCCCCTGCCGAGAATGCTTATATGTCTGAAGCTCAGTTTCCACATCCACTTTGGTAACCTAGGAAGAAAACAACAAGCTTTTTACTGTATAATCACTACTATCAATACAGCACAGAAATAAATATCCCGTATATGCAAAAGTTCCCAAAAGCAGCAATTTCTGACACAAGACAATCTGTTTGTAATTAGTCCATACGTACCTCCAGGTGCTGCTGTGTTTTCATTAAAATCAATTTATTTTCACTTCGTAATTGATGATTTTCTTCTTGGAGTTTAATGATATTATTTTTTGCTATTGCTAACTAAAGTTTATGAAACAGGGACAAGAAAAAAGATTTTAAACATCTTTACTTATACTTGCTTTATGTTTGGTTATGTTCATTGCTATAAACAATAGAATATAAAAGCTTAAAACTAGTCAAATGTCTCACATCTACAGAAGCTTTCATAAGAAAAGTGCTATTATCCTAAGATACTAATAAAAAAAACTGAACTCTTATTTCTAGCATTTCCTCTATTTTTTTTAGCATTTCCTCTTATTAGTCAAAATATATGTTAAAATATATCATGCGTATCTGATTTAAATATGTTCTGAATACAAAGTGTCATGAAATGGTAAGACTGTAAAGTCCTGTATAAGGATAAAAAGATCTGTAAGAAGGCTATGTATCATCGCAAATGTGACACAGACCTTCATGATAATCAAATTGGAACACCCTCTGAAACAGAGAACACAGAGGGACCATCACAACTATGAGACATTTCTCACCATCAGAGTTAAACTAAGTGGCCTGGTTCTGAGGCCTACAGTGAAAAGAGGGATTCTAAGAAAGGAAAGCAAGCACCACCCCCAATGTTGTCTTGTAAATAAGTTTCTGAACATTTCATCAGGGATATAACTTGAACTTCGCAGTGCACCTAGGGCCAAAAAGAGGTACAAACTTGAAAGCAACTCTAATGGTCCCAATGACCAACAGACACATGACAAGATGCTCAACATCGCTCATCATTAGGGAAACGCAAGTTAGAACTATAATGAAAGACCACCCATCAGAATAGCGAAAATCAAAAGCACAAGAAACAACAAGTATTGGCGAGGATGTGTGGGGGGGGAAGGAACTCTCAGTGCACGATTGGTGGAAATACAATCTGGTGCAGTCACTGTGGAAAACAGTATAGAGTTTCCTCAAAAAATTAAAAACAGAACTACCCTACAATCCAGTAATTGCACTACTGTATTTAACCCAAAATACAAAAGCACTAATTCAAAGAGATACATGCATCCCTGTCTACTGCAGCATTATTTACAACAGCCAAATTATGGCAGTGGCCCAAGTGTCTATCGATAAATGAATGGATAAAGAAGATGTGGCATGTGGATGGAATGTTATTCAGCAATGAAAAAGAATGAAATCTTGCCATTTGGAACAACATGTATAGTGCTACAGAGTTTACTGCTAGGTGAAGTCAGTCAGCCTGAGAAAGACAAATACCATATGATCTCACTCATATGTGGAATTTAAGAAACAAATGAGCAGAGGCGCCTGGGTGGCTCAGTCAGTTGAGCGTCTGCCTTCGGCTCAGGTCATGATCCCAGGGTCTTGAGATCGGGCACCACACCAGGCTCCCCGCTCCACGGGGAGCCTGCCTCTCCCTCTGCCTCCCTCTTGTGAATAAATAAAATCTTAAAAAAAAAAAAAAAAAGTAAAAGAAAAAAAAAAAAAAAAAAAAGAGAGAGAAACCAAGAAACAGATTCTTTTTTTTTTTTTTTAAGATTTTATTTATTTATTTGAGAGCGAGACAGTGAGAGAGAGCATGAGCGAGGAGAAGGTCAGAGGGAGAAGCAGACTCCCCATGGAGCTGGGAGCCCGATGTGGGACTTGATCCCGGGACCCCAGGATCATGACCGGAGCCGAAGGCAGTCGTCCAACCAACTGAGCCACCCAGGCGTCCCAAGAAACAGATTCTTAACTGTAAAGAACAAACTTATGGTCACCAGAGGGGAAATGGGTGGGGGATGGATGAAATAGGTGACGGGGATGAAAGAATACACTTATCATGATTAAAACACAAAACAACGGACAGTGCTGGGTGGCTCAGTGGTTAAGCCTCTGCCTTCAGCTCAGGTCATGATCTCGGGGTCCTGGGATCGAGCCCCACATCGGGCTCTCTGCTCATCGGGGAGCTTGCTTCTCCCTCTCACTCTCTGCCTGCCTCTCTGCCTACTTGTGATCTCTGTCAAATAAATAAATAAAATCTTTAAAAAATAATAAAAATAAAAATAAAAAACAAAACAGAAACACTATCAAATGGTCCCAAACTTTATTTTATCAAAATAAAGATGCATTTGCAGTCATGCAAATAATGATGTGCTCCCTGGTTCGAAAAAATTAGGCCAGTTCTAAAAGAAATAAGAATTTTAATTAACACAGAAAGTAGGGTTTAGAGCACTCATGACAGATTTCTTCCTCTAGCCTAAATAATTCTGAAAACAGAAAGCAGTAACTCTGTGACTTGATAAGATTAAAAAAAACAACAACAAACTTATCTAAAGCAACTTTATAGACAGTATTACGGAGATCAATTTCTGGTCTGGGACCACCAGATAGCTGCTCGGACAATGCAAGAAACCAGAGCACTCGAGATGAGGTTGATATGTAGTTGTGTGGAGAAGGATGGCCACGATCGTACAGTGCTGCTGGTAAAGAAAAGTAATCAAATAGTGGAACAAGACGAACAGTATCATTTTAACAGGAATTTCTAACTGTAGATGATTCACTATCTAAATAGAGGTCACCCAGATTTTAAAAAGAGAATCACAACTTATTTATAGAAGAGCTTCTGTGAGTGTCATCTTTGGGGCTCATTTCTAGGAGTATTTCATACAATTCACAGATTTACCTGAGACTTTACCTGAGAAAATGAGGTTTTTCTAGAGCTTACAATCATCAATTATAACTACATCGCAAGCATTCCATCATAATGATGAAAATGTGTGTGCGCACACACATACTTAGCGTATTCATACTTAAAATGGAAAAGGATCACAAATACTCGGTCTGTGTCAGACAATTATCCATGGCCAGGTTACAATACCTCTTCAATCAGCTTAGTATTTGACTTTTCTAATGAGTCAACTCTTGAATGGAGACTGCTGACTGTGCTGCTGAAATTAACAAAGAAAAAACTCATTCAAATCACACAAATTCACAAAAGTCAGAAAAGGTATATTATCTTGGACTTACCATGGTACCTAATAGGCACCAACTACCCTGAATTTTTGAGTGTGGGCAATTTCATTAAGTTGAATAACCAGATTTGGCTAGGAAAGCAAAGGAGACTGAAGCTTTTTGCTGTTCACTATTTTCTGCAGTCTTCTTAGGGTCCTTCTTACATTTAAATTGTAATACTGAGGAATGGATTCCACACAAACACTACCAAATATTGTTAAAACTTAATTTAAAATTATCTTTTAAAGGATGAACTTTAAATATCCACTCTATAATTAAGTGGCTTAATTAGCATTTACAGCAGTCTTCAACACAAGCCCCATTCGGTTTCCACTTGCTACTTTCATAATCACTTAAAGCCTCTAAAGTCACCATAGTTTGGGACAATGTGAATATGAAATTCCTATCGGGTACTTGGTCAGCCTGCAGCTAAGCAAACACCCTAACTTTCAAAGATATAGTTAAAAGTCAGGTTAAGCCAAATGAACAACTTGGTTTTTTGCATAGTTACTTAAACTGATCAAGACTGGACATTACTGTACATTTTTTTCTGCATTTTTATAAATCTTAATAAAAAACTGTATTTCAAACTGTATAGTCACCGGAAGTACACAGTTATCAAAAATGCACACACTTCACTCGGCATCTCCGAGACTGGACATTACTGTATGTTTTATTTAACTTGTTTTTCAAGGCCTTGTTTCTACCATCTCAAGCTTTAATAATATAATATGCTCTTTACATTACAATTTAATAGATTTAAACAAATTTTATGCCAGCCTCAGAAATAAATATTGGCATTTTAGTTTAACTGGTTAAACAAGAAAAATATTTTTTCAGTCATATTAAATCATTTTTAAATACAATCATTCTTAGGGAAACAACTTGAGTTTTTCCACAAACAGCAACAGGGTATCTGGATGGTGAGACATTAACAGATGTGGGACTAAGAGACAGAGGACCAAAGTTAAGAATTCCTGCTTTCCTACTTTCTGTGTCACCTTGAAAGCTTTAAGACATTTCTGAGCTTCAGTTTCCTTATCTTTAAATCAGACAATAATATCTGTCCTGCCTTTATGTGAGAATCAATAAAACATTAATCAAAAAAGTACTTTTGAAAATAAACCCTCAAGAGTTTTCTTTGAATGAGGGCTAATATGTGAGTTCCAATTTTTTCTTCATCTGTTTTCTATATTTTTTTAAATACTCTAAATATACAAAAACATTCCAACTGGAAAAACAATGGAACATTTTTAAATTCGTAGAATGTACAAAAGTAAGGCACTCGTACTGCTATAAATGAGTTAATACACATAATTTAAAAGAGAATGAGAAAACTCCTTGAACCAAATTGAACAGATTCTAAGATAAACTGTTGAGTAAAACAGTGAACTACAGAAGAGTATAAAAATTATGCTACTTTATGTTTAAAAAAACCAACGGGAAGGTGAGAACTTCAAGAAAATATATATATATTCTTGTCTATTTGTATGAAGTATCTCTGGAGGCATACACAAGAACCTATTAATTATTCCCAAAGAGGGAAACCAGATGGTTGGATCAGGGAAGAGGGAGGATTTTTTTTTTCATGTTCCTATTGAAGTTTTGAAGTTTAAACTATATGAATATATTTCCTGTTGCCAAAAGTGAATAAAGCTTTAACAGTAAGTAAATAAGCAATACTAAGTTGCATTTGGAAATACAATCTCAGAATTACAAATTATAAAATACACATAGATACACATATATTTCCTATGATATCTTTTATTAAAACTCTACTTTTAAAAAAAGACAATGATACAACATAGTTCCTAACTCTCCAAGTTCAGAGAAAGCAAGAGTTACAGCTTCTTAGTTTCTCTAAAATGGGAAAGTGTTTAATTGTATTTCTGACTATTGAATTAAGCTTAGAAAATCGGAGAAGTACAAAGAATAAAAGAGAAATTATCCATAATCCCATCACCCAGAGATAGCCATTTTTGCTAATTATTTATTTTAATTAATGGAACAGTCCATTTCTAACTATGTAGCAAATATTATTCACTATACCTGTGCTATCTAGTCCAACTAAAACATACCACAACTGTAAAATATACATTGGATTATAAAGACAATACAAAGAAAGAATACAAAATACCTCATGAACAATTTTTACATTGATTAATGTTGAAATGATAAGATTTTGGGTATACTGGATTGAATAAAATGTATTTTTAAGTTAATTTCATGTTTTTTTACCTTTTTAATGTGGTTACTAAAAATTTTAAATTATCTATATGACTCGCATTTTATTTCTATTAGTCAGAGCTGCACGTACTATTTTACACATAGATCTCAGAAATTCTTCCAAGTATTCACTAACAGCTTCAATGCCAGTTAACATGATAAGGCAAAAACTCCCACCGTGGGAGGCGACAGCCACATTTACACATGAAGCTCTCTGAAGTAGGAAAAATGAATCTGTTAACTATGAAAATGATATAAACTTCCACCCTACCTAATCTGTTTTTCTCAAGGATAAAGAGATAAGTTTGAAATTCTGTTTATTTATTTTATTTATTTATTTATTATTATTTATTTTTTTATTTTTATATTTATTTATTTATTATTTATTTAAAATAAATAAAATTTATTTATTTTTTTGACCCCTCCCCAGAAATTCTATTTTTAAATTCTCCAAATGTTCTATTTGAAAATCTAACTCTTGGGATACCTGGGTGGCTCAGTCAGTTAAGAGGCTGCCTTCTGCCCAGGTTATGACCCCAGGGTCAAGCCCCACATCAGGCTCCCTGCTCAGCGGGGAGTCTGCTTCTCTTTCTGCTGTTTCCCCACGCTTGCGCTCTCTCTACTCTCTCTCTCTCAGTTTATATAAATAAAAAAAATCTTAAAAAATAAAATATAAAGTCTGACTCTCATTTTTTGGAAATGAATTATCTCCAATAATTCTCTGTATTCTTAATCTCCATTCTCTACTCCCTCAACACTTTCTCAAAGATGTTTAGTAGGAACAGGACAAAGCAGACCCGAAAATGGTGAAGAAAACCTCTAAAACAATAGTCACAAATATCCAAGTAACCATAACACTTACTTCAGTTGTCGATTTAATTCTTCAACATAATTCTTCTGGTCTAATATGGCAGCAATTTGAACATTCCTAAAGAGAGGAAAGGAAGCCTTGCGTCAGATGGAAAGGTGTTTACTGGGTGACCAAAAAAATGTCTACATCACCTAAAATTGCCATAATGACAAAAAACATTATCTTGCCTTTAGAATAAAATTCAAGAATCTTTTTAATAATGTAGCAGTAGGCTGTGTACTAATTATATAACCTTTGTTAAGTCTAATATTAGCAAGTAATACCATTAAAAAGCATATTTAAGAATTCTTGGGGCGCCGGGGTGCCTCAGTGGGTTAAACCTCTGCCTTCAGCTCAGGTCATGGTCTTGGGATTCTGGGATCGAGCCCCGCATCGTAAGAAGCTTTCATCTCTTTTATCATAAAAAAAACCCCCAGCAATTAAAATGGGTCTCAGGAACTACAAGTCTGACCACAAGCCATACTTCATACTAAAGCCACCTCCTTCTATGTGATTTTGTTTTATAAAACTTGTATATGTAAGCGAAATAAAACAAGTGAAACAAAACATTTGTGAGTCTAAAACGAAACAAAGATTTTTGCTTTGTAGAACTTGTATATGGAAGCGAAATTAAACAAAGCAGGAACTACACACAGAATAAGGAAATAAAAACTACACTGTCCAAAAAAAACAAAACAAAACAAACGAAGAGACCCAGAAAACTACATTATCAATAGACGGACCTCATGGTGATTTGTAAAGAGCTACATAAAAAATACAACATGAGTGGGGCGCCTGGGTGGCTCAGTGGGTTAATAAGCCTCTGCCTTTGGCTCAGGTCATGATCTCGGGGTCCTGGGATCAAGTCCCGCATGGGGCTCTCTGCTTGGCAGGGAGCCTGCTTTCTCCTCTCTCTGCCTCTCTGCCTACTTGTGATCTCTGTCTGTCAAATAAATAAATAAAATATTAAAAAAAAAAATACAACATGAGAAATAACTTACAAAACATACCTTTCTTTATTTCCGATATCTTCTTCGTTCTTTAAATACATGGAAAAATCAATCACTCCAACCTAAAGTAGATCATGTTTATTTTAGTTAAAGGGGGAAAATATTAGAAGTATATTTAACATGCAACTGAATTTCATTCTTAATTTTTCTTTAGTGTTTAACAGCATTGTTTACAACTAGATCCAAGAGGAACAGGGCAAACTAAAAACACTCTGCATTTTCTTACAAGTCACTTTCACTTACTTGTGAGTCTAAATCTTCTCCCTTTACACACAGGTTAGCATCTATTACATTCAGGCCAACCAGCAGCCCAACAATTACTGCTCCTTCTTCTTCCATCATTAGCGCATGATACTCATAAAATTCACTACGGAAATTAAAATAAAAACCTTAAAATAAAAATTTAAGCACCAAATTTTAAAATCTCAGCCCCATAATATAAACATGGAACCCATTCAAATTTGGTCTCTTCAAATTAGCCTTTCTATACAGGAGTAACTCAAACATTTTGAAATGTTAATGTCCATGTAAACACAGTAAAAGAATGGGACTGAAGGAGAAGAAAGAGGAAAAAGAATTTTGAGAGAAAGAAAAGAGAAGCAAAGAGATATAGATCAAAAGAAAAAAAGACATCACTGAAGCCTAGACTATTTGGGACTCTCAGAAGACATAGTAACTGTTACTGATTTGATTATAAAACTTTTTATTAGCGTTGACTTTTTCAATCTAGGCTTTATTAAGAATCTTGGGATGAAGACTAAGGTAGGGAATGAATATATGAAACATTCCAAAGCCCATGTTCAAATCAGTGTATTTGATATGTATATTCCAAGTATTCTTAATAATCATCACTTAAGGATACTTATGAATATCTATATTCTAAAAAATGTTTAAACAAGAGACTTAGGAAAGAAACAGAGAAGACTTGACAATTATGTATTCATAGAACTAATTATCTCTGTCTCATGCCTTCCTCAAGAAGTCCCATGTACTGTTTAGTCACTTTAATTGAGCTTCAAAATATCACTGAGAAACTGCTGGTGCTTAATGTATGGTCATTCTCATTTAACAATGGGAAAACCAACATGTACAACCACAGTCATAATAACCAGATTCTCCAGAACATCAGACAGGCACTCCAAGAGAACAAGGGTAAACAGAGAGACTGCTATGGGCCACTTCCTCTAACACTTGATTACCATACTTTGAAAGTCTGTCTCAAACATCTGGCTAGCTATTTATTTACAATATCTATTTATTTATAATTTATTCAAGAAGTGAATACTGAAAACAAAAGTTTCAATGAGGGTGTTAATCAGAGTTATGATCAGTATTGCATTTACATTTTTCAAAAGGATGAATCCATTCTGTGTTAAATAAAAAGCTTCAAAGGTAATCAATGAATGGTCCCTATGATGACAGCTATTCTTGTAATCAAGCAGATTTCTAGATCAGTGCATAGACCAGACTATTTATAAACTCGACTTCCCATCAACTTCAGCACGATGTCAACTAACAAGTTAATGTTTTCCAGTCATCTTCACTATGACACTTAACTGCCAGCACTCACTCGCCTTCAATTTAAACTGACAGTTTAAAAAGTGCCCACAATATGGCCAAAGCAACAGTTTAGACATTCAGGTTCTAAAACCTGTTGGGGAGCCTGGATGGCTCAGTTGGTTAAGTGTCCGAATGTTGATTTTGACTCAGATCATGATCTCGGGGTCGTGAAATTAAGACCCATGCGAGCTCCGCCCTGGACACTGAGTTTGTTTAGGATTCTCTCTCTCTCTCCCTCAGCAGCTCCCCCATCTCCCTCTTAAAAAATATAAAATAAGAAACCTATCAAATTAAAGCCCCCAATCCCAACAGAAATTTTTATTCGTAGAATTAACTGTAATTTAGAAAAAAAAAATAAAACTAGCTTAGAGGGCACCTGGGTGGCTCAGTTGGTTAAGCCAATGATCAAGTCATGATCCCAGAGTCCCGGGATCAAGTTCCGCATTGGAAAACATTAACTTGCTCCACGGAGTCTGCTTCTCCCTCGGACCTTCTCCCCTCTTACACACTCTCTCACTGTCTCTCTCTCTCTCTCAAAAAAAAAAAATTTAAAAAAAAAAAAAAAAGACCTTAGAAATATAACATATAAATAAATAATCCTCTTACTGGTCAATATAAAGCTTACGGTATTCAGTTTTTAAGCAAATTCATGATCTATATTATGTCCCTACATGATTTTCTCTCTCATGTTGCTCTTTTAATGCCATCTTATTGTATTTTATGTATCCTTCTAAACTACATCTTTAATTCTTTTTGGAAAACAGGATAAAAATGAAATTTTTTAAATGGAAATGAATATGATTTAATGGTACTAACCTTAAGAGATCCCTCTGAATAATTAAGCAACGCAGGTAATCAGCCATTTTTTTTTGCATGAGGGCTAATCGAAGCCATGCTCTTGCACGACCTAGCGGGGTCCTAAAAAGCAAAACCAATTAGTCAGAAGACAGGCCCAGTCCAGGGCTACCTGGGTGACTCAGTGGGTTAAAGCCTCTGCTTTCGGCTCAGGTCATGATCCCAGGGTCCTGGGATCGAGCCCCGCATCGGGCTCTCTGCTCAGCAGGGAGCCTGCTTCCCTTCCTCTCTCTCTGCCTACCTCTGCCTACTTGTGAGCTCTGTCAAATAAATAAATAAATAAACAAAATCTTAAAAAAGAAAAAGAAAAGAAGACAAGCCCAGTCCATATATTGTAACAGATTACATATTTTATCTCTGTCAAGGTTCATATTAATAAAGGAAAACTGCAATTTACCATGGTTTTGTCTGTTTCTACAGGTGTTGTTTGTTTGTTTGTTTGTTTGTTTTAAGCCAGCTGCTTGAGCATGCAAACCAACCCCTGGGAGCTATTTTTGGTCTCTAAGGTAAATCTGCACATACAGGACATAGAAGTACCATTTTATGCCTTGGAAGAAATGACTCTCTAAATACTGGGGATTATCTCTACAAAAATATTTTGACTGAATGGGCTTAACCGTCTCAGGATGAATATACAAGGGGTGGGTGTCTGGCTGGCTCAGTCAGTAGAGCATGTCATTTTTATTCTCCAGGTTGTGAGTTCAAGATCCATACTGGGAGTAGAGGTTACTTAAAAAAAAAAAAAAAAAAAAAATTTTAAATGTGGATATGCAAAATGCATCAAATAAGGCAGTATAATGCCTTCGAAAAGTGACATTATATCTGAATTTTTAAAATCATAACAAATTTTAAAAAAAGATTATAAAGCTAGAAGGGCACCGAGCTGGTAATCAAAAAGAGAAATCACCAGGCTGCGTGTTATTTTTCAAATGTTTCTCTATGAGGTTGTCCTTAAAAAATTCAATCCAGGGGCGCCTGGGTGGCTCAGTGGGTTAAAGCCTCTGCCTTCGGCTCAGGTCATGATCCCAGGGTCCTGGGATCGAGCCCCACATCGGGCTCTCTGCTCAGCGGGGAGTCTGCTTCCTCCTCTCTCTCAGCCTGCCTCTCTGCCTACTTGTGATCTCTGTCTGTCAAATAAATAAATAAACAAAATCTTTAAAAAAAAAAAAATTCAATCCCATACTTCTTAACCAAGTGCTATCATTTAGTAAAAGTAAAATCAGATTTTACAAAATATGTATAGTTTTTCAAAGAGAAAGATATCATTCTCACTTTTATGTTTTCTTATACAAAGAACGTTTTGGCATGTAGTGTGGGAGGTAAGTTAATCTTCACTAACAGCTACTGAGCTTCTACGGTTTAGCAGTTGAATGAATACCATTCTTCAGAAAACATTACTTTTGAAGAGTTAGCCTTTTATTTTTTAAGATTTTATTTATTTATTTGACAAACAGAGATCACAAGTAGGCAGAGAGGTACGGAGAGAGAGAGACAGGGGTGTCAGGCTCCCCGCTGAGCAGAAAGCCCAAGGCGGGGCTTGATCCCAGGACCCTGAGATCATGTCCTGAGCCAAAGGCAAAAGCTTAACCCACTGAGCCACCCAGGCGCAGCAAGAGTAAGGCTTTTTAAAAATAATATGAATGTAGGGCGCCTGGGTGGCTCAGTGGGTCAAAGCCTCTGCCTTTGGCTCAGGTCATGATCCCAGGATCCTGGGATCGAGCCCCGCCTCGGGCTCTCTGCTCCGCAGGGAGCCTGCTTCCTCCCCTCTCTCTCTTTGCCTGCCTCTCTGCCTACTTGTGATCTCTCTCTCTCTCTGACAAATAAATAAAATCTTTAAAATAATAATAATAATATGAACGTGTATTTTTCATATTAAAATGACCAAATCTTACATTTCTATTTAAGATTTTTATTTTTTATTAACATATAATGTATTACTTGCCCCAGGGGTACAGGTCTGTGAATCGCCAGGCTTACACAATTCACAGCGCTCACCACAGCACATACCCTCCCCAATGTCTATAACCCAGCCACCCTATCCCTCCCTGCCCCCGCCCCCCGGAACCCTCAGTTTGTTTCCTGAGATTAAGAGTCTCTTATGATTTGTCTCTCTTCCAATCCCATCTTGTTTCATTTTTCCCTTCACTACCCCTCACGACTTCCAGCCCTGACTCTCAAATTCCTCATATCAGTGAGATCATATGATAATTGTCTTTCTCTGATTGACTCATTTTGCTCAGCATAATACCCTCTAGTTCCACTCAGGTCATTGCAAATGGCAAGATTTCGTTTCTTTTGATGGCTGCATAGTATTCCAGTGTGTGCGTGCGTGTGTGCGTGTGTGTGTACCACCTCTTCTTTATCCATTCATCTGTTGATGGACATCTAGGCTCTTACCATAGTTTGGCTATTGTGGACATTGCTGCTATAAACATTCAGGTGCATGTGCCCCTTCGGGTCACTACATTTGTATGTTTAGGGTAAATACCCAGTAGTGCAATTGCTGGGTCAGAGGGTAGCTCTATTTTGAACTTTTTGAGGAACCTCGATACTGTTTTCCAGAGTGGCTGCACCAGCTTGCATTCCCACGAACAGTGTAGGAGGGTTCCCCTTTCTTTGCATCCTCATCAACATCTGTCATTTCCTGACTGGTTAATTTTAGCCATTCTGGTTGGTGTGAGGTGGTATCTCACTGTGGTTTTTAATTGTATTTCCCTGATGCTGAGTGATGTGGAGCATTTTTTCATGTGTCTGTTAGCCATTTGGATGTCTTTGCAGAAATGTCTGTTCATGTCCTCTGACCATTTCTTGATTGGATTCTTTGTTCTTTGGTATTGAGTTTGATAAGTTCTTTATAGATTTTGGATACTAGCCCTTTATCTGATATGTCATTTGAGAATAAAAGATTTTATTTTTAAAGTAATCTCTATACCCAATGTGGGGCTTGAACTCACAACTCAGAGATTAAAAAGTCACATGCTCCACTGACCAAGTCAGCCAGGTGTCCCTTCTTATATTTCTCTTTTTGAGAGTTATAATTCCCTTTTTCTTCTATCTTTGCTAAAAATCACTACACCCAATATTCTATTATAAGAAACATCAACCGTGAACATCACTTGATATTTAACTCTAAAAACTAGATTTGAGGAACATGGTTGGCTCACTCAGTCATGCATGCAATTCTTGATCTCAGCATCAGGAGTTTAAGCCCCCCAGTAAGCGGAGAGATTACTTATAAAAATAATAATAATAAATTAAATAAAATTTAAAAACTGGGTTTGAATCCTAGCTCTGCCACTTATTAACTGTTAACTCCTCTGACCTTTATTTTTCACATCTATGCAATTATTATAATAATCTCTACCCTGTAAGACTGGTGTAAACACTAAATAAGATAATTCATGTAAATCAATTATTTTATTGCCCTGAGACAGTGCTTACTAGTAGCCATTTACTTTTATCATTCAATTATATGGATGTTGTGTTAACAGCCAGAAAACACTACGGTATTCCTTACAACATGTAAAACGCTCAGGCACCTGGGTGGCTCAGTTAAACGTTTGCCTTCAGCTCAGGTCATGATCCCAGGGTTCTGTGGTCAGTATATTGGGCTCCCTGCTCAGGGGGGAGTCTGCTTCTCCCTCTGCCCCTTCCCTTGCTTCTCTTGCTCACTCTCTCTATAACCAAAACAAAAAATCTTAAAAAAAAAAAAAATGCAAAACCCTCAATTATAAAGCTAAGAGAAAGCGAACTGGTAATCTGACAGAAAATGCTAAGAAAAAAAAAAAGGTCATCTCATTCACAAGAATTAAGATAAACTAAAGGAAAACATAAGAACTCTGGCTTAACAACACTTTATACCTTTATTCAGCCCTTACAATATTTTGTATAGATTTGTCTGGTGAAATGGACAGGTGACACTATAAGTCCCAATTTTCAGAGAAAAAAAAGTAATTTGCACAAGCCCCATATATATAAATGGCTTACCTGAGAATTCAAATCTCCTGAGCCTTTGCCCTGGAGTTAGTCTAAATTAGTCTTCAGCAAATAGTTACAGGGCTGCCAACTAGCTTACTACTGCAAACTAGCTTAACACTCAGGAAACAGAAATGCATAATTGATACATCCTATCTTAAAGGGACCTGCAGTTTCCTGCAATATAATGTAGAATTGAAGTGAAGGAGTGAATATAGCTATAGGGTATAAAAGAAAAAGCAGTTAATTCTTACTGAAGGGACTAAGAAATCTCATAAAGGAAATGAAATATTAATTGAGCCATAAAGATCAGAATTCTACTAGGAAAGAATGGAGGAAGACTACTTAAGGCTGAGAGAAGATTATAATAGAGTGTGAGGTACTTTTAAGGAACAGTAAATACACTTTTGCAGTTTAGAAATGAACAAGTAAGGGCGCCTGGGTGGCTCAGTGGGTTAAAGCCTCTGCCTTCGGCTCAGGTCATGATGCTAGGGTCCTGGGATCAAGCCCCACATCAGGCTCTCTGCTCAGCAGGGAGCCTGTTTCCCCCTCTCTCTGCCTGCCTCTCTGCCTACTTGTGATCTCTGTCTGTCAAATAAATAAATAAAATCTTTAAAAAAAAATGAACAAGTAATAAGCTTACTTACTTAAGACCAGGTAAATCCCGGACACTGGCTCCTATTTCCTCTGCTTCCGGGTACAGCTTTTCCACCAGTTCCAAGGGGCCCCAGATAGTTTTGTTATAACTCAAAAATGATTTTCTTACTGGAAAAAAAAAAAAGTATATGTAATGCATACAACTCCAACATATAAAACTGTAATAATTTATTTTTAAATATTTAGTTTCAACATTTCTAACTTAAAATACAATTGCTCAGAGACTTTCCTCTCTTATCACTACACAGCACTGTTGATCAGGGACCTGTTCATCAGGATCCTGCTATTTTTCCTTATCAGAAATATGCAAAGAAGAAAGAGAGAAAGAAAATAAATATGCATCTTGGCCATTCTTCCTTATCAGAAATATGCAGGCAGTTAATTAAAGTAAAAAAACAACTGGCCTTATTCTTTACCAGTACCAAAACAAAAAGGCTGGCAGCCCTAGCAGGTTAATCTTTATCAGTTTATTAAATAAATCAAGGACAAATAAAAAGCTATTTTTAACATGAAAAATTGTGACTTATTTTGAGAATAGGGCAACATAATACCATAAATCACTATATATTTCTTTCTTAATATTGACCAGATCTCCTGCAGATCAAGGGCCCCTATCATACGTACCACCCAAGGACAATCACCAAGATAGGCAATTTTTCTTTGCTGGGTGGGTGAGGGGAATCAATCAACAAAAGTAGCTTCACAAGGATTCATTAAGACAAGCCTGTGATAGGACTGTTAGGACATGCCTTATGGTATTTTGTGAAGTAAAGGAAAATAAATTCAGAGAAGAGCTTAAACTTTATTTGGCCATCATTTAGCAAATTCCGTTTCTGCAACCCAAGAGAAAACAAAGATTAAAAGTTTTTTAAAAAGCAAATTAAAATTTGGGATGCCTGGGTAGCTCAGTCCATTAAGCAGCTGCCTTCAGCTCAGGTCATGATCCCAGAATCCTGGGATCGCAAATCCCGCATTGGGCTCCTTGCTCAGTGGAGAGCCTGCTTCTTTCTCTCCCTCGGCCTGCCGCTCTGCCTGCTTGTGCTCTCTATCTCTCTGTCAAACAAATAAATAAAATCTTTTAAAAAAGGAAAGCAAATTAAAATTCAAGGTGTTAAAAAAATTAAAATTAAAAAAATTAAAAATTAAAAAAACTAAAACTAAAACAAAACAAACAAAAAAACCCCCTAAAGATTGTTAGATCAGACTGGTGAGTTTCTGATGTACTGAAAGAAGCAAAAACCTGTAATATCAAGAGTGGGCAAAAATGCGGGGAAACAAACACTAACATCCACTGATGTCTGATAAATCCACAAAGCCTTCATAGAAGCCATTTACCTATATCCTTTGACCCAGGAATTCTACTCCTAGGAACCCTATCCTAAAGAACAACTATAGAAACACATACAGAGATGTTCTTTTTTTTTTTTTTTTTTTTTAAGATTTTATTTATTTATTTATTTGACAGACAGAGATCACAAGTAGGCAGAGAGGCAGGCAGAGAGAGAGAGGGGAGAACAGGCTCCCTGCTGAGCAGAGAGCCTGACGTGGGGCTCGATCCCAGGACGCTGGGATCATGACCTGAGCCGAAGGCAGAGGCTTTAACCCACTGAGCCACCCAGGTGCCCCAAAACACATACAGAGATGTTCTAACAGCACAATTTTAATAGTAAAAAATAGGAAACAACCTAAGAGTACATTAAGAGGAGAGCAGTTAAGTAAGTTTTGGTATACATATACTATGAAATTTTATAGAGCATTTAAAAATGTGGGGTGCCTGGGTGGCTCAGTGGTTGAACCTCCACCTCTGGCTCAGGTCATGATTCCATGGTCCTGGGATGGAGCCCCACATCAGGCTCCCTGCTCAGCGGAGAGCCGCTTCTCTCTCTCCCTCTGCCTGCCACTCTGCTTACTTGTGCTGTCTCTTTGTCAAATAAATAAAAATCTTAAAAAAATAAAAATAAATAAAAATAAAAATGTGATAAAGAACTCTATGTAAATGGAAAGCTCTCCAAACCATATATCATCTTTTTTTTTTTTTTTTTTTTTTTTAAACAAAGTCACAAGAGGCGCCTGGGTGGCTCAGTGGGTTAAGCCTCTGCCTTCGGCTCAGGTCATGATCCCAGGGTCCTAGGATGAGCCCCGCATCGGGCTCTCTGCTCTGCAGGGAGCCTGCTTCCCTTCCTCTCTCTCTGCCTGCCTCTCTGCCTACTTGTGATCTCTGTCAAATAAATAAATAAATAATTTTTTTAAAAAGTCACAAAATAATAATACTTATAGCATAATTCTATGCAGAGTAAAAGAAAAAAAAAAAGAGTCAGAAGAATGACAAGGATTCCCTTAGGGAGATAAATGGAAGAGAATGAAGGATATGGTTTTTGCTCTAGGTGCTTCTATGTTGTTTGAGTCATGTACAAAAAGATTTCACTATTTATATATATATTTTTAAAATTATTTTGTCTTCAATTAAAAAAATAGTGGAATCTAAAAAAGTAAAACAAAAACCAAACTCAAAAACAGAGAACAGATTAATGGTCAGCAGAGGCAAAGGATGCAGGTAGAGGAAATGGGTAAAGGTGGTCAAAAGGTATAAACTTCCAATTATAAAATAAGTCGTAAGGATGTAATGTACAGCATGATGACTACAGGTGATAACACTGTTGTATGGGGGCGCCTGGGTGGCTCAGTCGTTAAGCAGCTGCAGGTCATGATCCCACGGTCCTCGCATCGAGCCCTGCATCGAGCCCCCTGCACAGCGGGAAGCATGCTTCTCCCTCTTCCACTCCCCTTGCTTGTGTTCTGTGTGTGTGTGTGTGTCTCTCTCTCTCTGCCAAATAAATAAATAAATCTTTAAAAATTAAAAAAAAAAATACTGTTGTATATTTGAGTTACTAAGAGTAAATCTTAAAAGTTCATCATAAGAAAAAAAATTTTGTTAAGATTTTATTTATTTGACAGAGAGAAACAGATCACAAGTAGACATAGAGGCAGGCAGAGAGAGAGGGGGAAGCAGGCCCCCCCTTGAGCAGAGAGCCCGATGCAGGGTTCGATCCCAGGACCCCAAGACCATGACCCGAGCAAAGGCAGAGGCTTAACCAACTGAGCCACCCAGGCGTCCCCCCAAAAAATTTGTAACTATGTATGGTGATGAATATCAACTACACTTCCTGTGCTGATCATTTCACCATACATAAAAATATCAAATTATGTTGTGTACCTGAAACTAATATGTTAATTATATCTCAAAATTTTTTAAATAAAAAAGAAATGAGTACTTTAATAATATCACATAGAAACGGTTTCTCAAATTTTGATGCCAAGGATCTTTTGGCAGTACATTTTATTAAAATTTGAAGAACATTTTAATAAAACCATGTTTATGTAAATCTCCTTTTGTGCTGTTTACATTGACCCCTAATTCCATGTACCTTAGTCAGAACTTCTAGGCCTTCCCAATTACCCAGGTTCCTAGTATACCCACAAGGAAACAAGCTTCTTTTAGCTTTAGAATAGTCACTTTAATATAAACTCTTACATAGCCCTCTGCACAGTTGATCCAAACTACCAACAACTGTTTTTTTTTTGTTTTGTTTTGTTTTTTTAAGATTTTATTTATTTATTTGATAGAGAGATCACAAGCAGACAGAGAGGCAGGCAGAGAGAGAGGAGGAAGCAGGCTCCCCGCTGAGCAGAGAGCCCGATGCGGGGCTCGATCCCAGGACTCTGAGATCATGACCTGAGCCGAAGGCAGCGGCTTAACCCACTGAGCCACCCAGGCGCCCCCCAACAACTGTTTTTATGATAAGTAAAAGAACAATTATACAATGTACATTAAATACCTAAGTCTAATTTTACATGTAATGATAAATCAGTGTCAACTATGTAGAATATTATCATTTATTATTATCATCAATATTATCATCATTTCCAGGGAGAACTTACATTTCTACAATAATCTAATCCAAAAGACAATTTTTCTAGATACATTCCAGGGGGCCAAGGAAGTTTGTATTTCAACAATTATCTTAATGTATTTGTTCAGTAGGGTTCAAACTAGTAATAAGACTTCATATTGGAATCATTAAGCTTAAAATTTTTTAAATAACTCTACAACTGTCCTAGAAAATAGAAATCAGTTCAGAGTATATTGAGGAAAAAAAATCAAATGTTTTTACAAAACACTAACTAGGCATTTTGTGAAGGCAACTGATTAGAAAACAAAGCAGTAGGCTCTTTTCTCCCCAAGCCAACCCACCCAGTATTTTTAAATGTAAAGTAACAATAATTAGGACCTTGACAATTAACACATTTTCAAAGATGTCTAAGATGGAAGCGGTGGGATTCTAAACTAAATTAGTTCTTTAAAATCTCATGATACCTTTAAGACCGTGTTTCAGACAATGTTCCATAACAACAAAGAACTGCTGCAAGGGGGGATAGTCAGAATCCAAAGTGCGGCCAAAGCTTAGAGCAGATTCAATGAGTCCTTTGATACTCAATTTAGCCATGTTTAACAAGTTTGCTCTCTCTACAGCTGTGGGGTCTTTTGTAGCTGAAAGCACAAGAAAGGAGTCCAACATCATTTGCAAGACATGACATTGAAAAATACAGAAACCCTTTCATTCCCCTACAAAAACAACAATGGTCTGTTTTTCCTTGGTTGACAAATTAGTCTCCCTAACTAATCCACACCCCTAGGTAACTTCTCTTCATCTCTCTCTCACAGATACCACAGAATACTACCATACCCACCCCAGACAAAGTTTATGAATTATTCTCAAGATCTTGCAACTTGGTTATTTTCTAGTATTTATTTTACTTTTGTGGTACGTCTTCAGAAAGAACAAGTTTTTTTGTTTTGTTTTTTAAGTTTTTTTTTTTAATAACTTTTTTGAGGAGATAAAATTGGAATAATAAAACAACATATTTAAGAATCTCATGCAAAAGGTGGACAGCAGGCATGGTCGAAGGATGAATCTCAAGGCAAAAAATGTTCAGAATAAACTGGCAATAAAAGGTGGTTACAATTCCAAGATTACAATATCATCCATAAACATAATGGGTTAAAACACAAAAATAACGGAATACAGGAAAAGCCATTTGATTCTTTCACTCATTTTAACCTCTTTCCATCTTGTATCTTCATTGCAACTGTAATTCTGTATTGCATAACTCCTTTATTTTCTCAGAGGAAATAAAAGCAGTCCTGTTTCACATTTAAGTTCCTTGCCCTTCCACAGAGCTGATTCAGTCAAAAACTAAGTTAATAGATGCACTTAAAAAAAATGATTTGTAACTGATATTTCCAAATCACAAAAAGCTATTTTTTTTCTTTCCCACAGTGACTGGCAGGAATATTTTCAGCAAACACAGATGACAAAATGAAGTGCAGAAAAATGAAGCACTTCGTTCAACGTTTCATAATCTCTGGCAAATTTACTAGTCCAAGTGAACCAAGTGTCTTGTTTTCCTTCACTGAACAAAAGTCCAGCGGTCCCAATGATCTAGTATTCGAGTTCTAAGCTGATACCTAAGGGCAAAGCCTGACGCGGCATCCTAAGCAACTAAAAATGCAAACAGCCACAATCGCTATGACCAAGCTAGCTGGTGAAAAATTTGCACACACATCATGACTTCAAATCTGCAGCGTGGTATGATTCCCTCTTCTTTTCGAGGGGGGGGGGACCACTTGATGTTTCATAATCTGTACCAATCCTCATTTTTCACAGTGCCCATTACGATCCGTGACTTGCGATGCGACAAGGAGACAAAGGGCGCATCTGCAGCTACTCCGAGGCGGGTCCGTGCTGGGGGACCCTTGCCCCAGAAGCGTTTACACGCCGGCCGCGCCCAGCCCGGGCTAGCAGACATGTCCCGCTGGTCGCAGCCCAAACAAGGCCAAGGGCCAGTCCCTGCATCTAGCCCGGGCCTGGAGTCCCCCTCCCTGTCTCCCTTCCTCCCCGCAGCAAGGCTGCCCAAAAGGCTCAGGGCGCCCCAGGACCCCCGCGGAGGGCTCACCCGGGGTCCTGCGCGACATCGCTGCACCTCTCCCGCCCTCGGCGTCGGGCACCCAGGCCAAAACCTGAGACGCGTCTTCCCTCCGCCACCCCCAAACCTGAAAAGTCATCGCCCGTCCCCGACTGTTCCACCGACCCGGGAGCGGCCCCCCAGCCAGCCGTGTCTTCGCCCCTAGGAAGCCGTCAGACCACGAGCCCTCGGCCATTAGGCCCTAGAACCCGGGCGGGAACCAGAAGGAACCGGGGGCGGCCGCGCGTTGCCATGGCGACCCCGGGCGCCCCCTAGTCCCCGGCTGCCCCCGCCCAGCCCCAGACCCGGGTTGGGGCCCGAGTTGCAACCCGGGGCCTCGGTGCCCACCACCAGTCTTCCTCTCCCGGCCTCGGCCTTCAGCCTCCGACCAAGAGCCCGGCGTCCGCTCTCGGTCCGCTCCCCTTACCCATGGCGTCTGTGGCGCGGTCTCGGGCGAGGACGCCGTGGGCCCCGCCAACAGCTCCCTTCAGGCGCGCGGCGGCCGCCACGGCGTCTACCAGCAGGCCCGCGGCGGCCCACAGCGCTCCCGGCGGCCGGAGGACGCCCGGGAGATCCCCCGGCGGGGCGAGTGGGGCGGGGGGCCACGGGGCCTGCAACCGGCAGGAGACAAACCCGCCCTCGCCCGGCCTCCTCGCGTGCAGCCCGACCGGAAGAAGGAGGAAGAGGAGCACGAAGGAGACCGGGAGTGTTCGGAGCCGGAGGCCGGGCCCTGGTCGGACCACGGACCTCTCACCAGGGGGTTGCGCCGGGGCGCTCTGGCGGCTTTGCCAGGGGGTACGAGCCACGTGCAAACGTTTTCATCGACGCGGCATTGGGGTTCATCTGAGACACCTGACCGCTTCCCTGCCTCACGAGGTCTTAGGAGCAAAGAATTTAGAAACTAGGCAGACCGATCACTTTTTTTTTTTTTTAAGATTTTTATTTATTTGACAGATCACAAGCAGGCAGAGAGGCAGGCAGAGAGAGAGAGAGGAGGAGGCAGGCTCCCTGCTGAGCAGAGAGCCGGGTGTGAGGCTCGATCCCAGGACCCTGAGATCATGACCTGAGCCGAAGGCAGAGGCTTTAACCACTGAGCCACCCAGGCGCCCCCCAATCATGACATTTAAACCGGTAAATACGACGGCCTCGGGAAGGGCCGCACTCATCAAGGGACAGACGTGTAGAAATAAAGACAATTTTTTCTCATTCAGGGAAGGAAAAAAAACCTCTCGTGGTCAGATGATACTAGGTTAAGCTCTAGCAGTTTAGGAAGAGTAAGCTATTCCGTAGTTAGAATAGCAATTGTTAAGACAATGGCTGAGCTAGAAAGAGATGTCATGAAAATTGGGCTGTTGGGCGCTTGGGTGGCTCAGTGGGTTAAGCCGCTGCCTTCGGCTCAGGTCGTGATCTCGGGGTCCTGGGATCGAGTCCCGCGTTGGGCTCTCTGCTCAGCAGGGAGCCTGCTTCTCTCTCTCTCTCTCTCTCTCTGCCTGCCTCTCTATTTGTGATTTCTCTCTGTCAAATAAATAAACAAACTCTTTAAAAAAAGAAAGAAAATGGGGCTGTTTTTCTCATCACCTTGGCCAGAATAGTTTGTTTCTTTACCTCTTTTGGTTTTAACAATTTCCATTACTGTGAGATAATCACACATGGAGAGAAAAGTATAAAACAAACTGTAATGAGCAGGCTATGAAGCTTCACACACGAGTTGCGTCTTTCCTCAATGTTGGCTTTATTCAGTCATAAAGCAAGTTAAGGATTTCAAACTCAATGACATTTCACCACATGATTAACTTGGCTTCTTCCTAGACACACAAAGCAGAACACAAGTCACACAACAAAAGATAACAGGGACTAGGAAGTTAAGGAACCAAACAAGAAGTCAGTCTGTGGGTGCACAGTTGAGATAAGGCCTAGGTCTCCTCAGGGTCACCTTCAGGCACTTACTGCTTATTAAGCTCCAGCAGTGAAGGATCTCAGTTCTGTTCCGAGATCAATCAAGCAAAGCCTGTCAGCAGCAGCTGCCTTTTTTTTTTTTTTTTAAGATTTTATTTATTTGACAGAGAGCAATCACACAAACGGGGGAGTGGGACGCAGAGGGAGAGGGAGAAGGGCTCCCCACTGAGCAGGGAGCCCCACTCTGGGCTGGATTCCAGGACACTGGGATCATGACTCAAGCTGAAGGCACGTGCTTAAACTGGCCGAGCCAGCCAGGCGCCCGAGCAGCTACCTTTTTTTTTTTTTTTTTTTAAGATTTACTTATTTGAGTGATAAAAAGAGAGAGAATGCACACAAGCCAGGGGAGAGGCAGAGAAGCAGACTCCCCACTGAGCAGGGAGCCTGATATAGGACTGGATCCCAGGACCCTGAGATCATGACCTGAGCTGAAGGCAGACACTTAGCAGACTGAGCCACCCAGGAGCCCCAGCAGCTGTCTTTTGTTAAGGGGTCAGACATACAGGATGTTGAGGAGTCTGACAGTTTGCTAAAAAATCCTCCCTTTTTAACTAATGATTTTGGCTAGCTGAACATAATAAAAAAATTAAAATTTAAAAATTTTTAAAAAAAGAATAAACCTGCTGGCCTGTTAAAAGAAAAAGGATCTTCCCTTTTTAAAAAAGGATTAATTAGTCTCGGGACTCTACAGAGCTCCTCTGCTTCTGCTTGTTATCATTTCTGGGGGACCGTCAGCTGTTGTTGGTCTTGGTAGATAATCTGATTAATGCAGTACCCTTAAGTGCTTGCATCATTGCTTGACACAGGCCCCTGCTTGACATAAGTGACTCCATCTTGCTCTCTACATACAGTTTAAAGAATCATTATAAAGTGAACAACTAAGTAACCACCATCAGATCAACTGAGCACAGGCAGAGCCATCCTCCCTGGGAACTGCCCCTAGCCACCATTCACTTTCCCCCTTGAGGTAAATACCATTCTGGCTTTTTTGAGAATCGTTTCCTTGCCTTTTTTTTTTTTTTTTTTAAGATTTTATTTATGTATGTATTTGACAGAGAGAGACACAGCGAGAGAGGGAACACAAGCAGGGGGAGTGGGAGAGGGAGAAGCAGACTCCCCGCTGAGCAGGGAGCCCGATGCAGGGCTGGATCCCAGGACCCCAAGATCATGATCTGAGCCGAAGGAAGATGCTTAACGACTGAGCCGCCCAGGAGCCCCCATTTCCTTGCTTTTGTTTTCTACCTTGCAAGTATGTGCCCCTAAACCATGTAATTTATTTTTGTGTTTATAAACTTTTCACAAATGGAATAACACTATAAATTTTGTTACTTGCTTCTTTTGTTCAACATTATCCATGTCCAAGAGAAGTTCCAGGTTGGGGTATTTCAAAGTTGTACATATATCCTTTTTTTTTTTTTTTAAAGATTTTATTTATTTATTTGACAGAGATTACAAGTAGGTGGAGAGGCAGGCGGAGAGGGGAGGAAGCAGGCTCCCCGCTGAGCAGAGAGCCCGATGCAGGCCGATCCCAGGACCCTGGGATCATGACCTGAGCCGAAGGCAGAGGCTTTAACCCACTGAGCCACCTAGGTGCCCCACTGTACATATATCCTTATGCCAATGTCCAAGAGAGTCACTAGAACATATAATTAAGAATAGGGGCACCTGGGTGGCTCAGTCAGTTAAGTGTCTGCCTTCAGCTCAAGTCATGATCTCAGGGTCCTGGGATGGAGTCCACGTCGGGCTCCCTGCTCAGCAGGGAACTTGCTTCTCCCTCTGCCTCTCCCCCTGCTTGTTCTATCTCTCAAATGAATAAATTTTTAAAAAATTTTTTAAAAAATAGAGTAACTGAAAATAAGGTATGCCTTTTTTTAAATTTATGCGCTAGGCTCCTGGGTGGCTCAGTAGGGTTGAGCGTCCAACTCTTGATTTTGGCTCAGGTGATGATCTCCATGAGATGGAGCACCCTGTTGTTGGGTTCCATGCTCAGCAGGAATTCTGCTGGAGATTCTCTCCTTTCCCTCACCCTCTACCCCTTCCCCAGATCATGCTCTCTCTCTCTCTCTCTCTCTAAAAATAATAAAATCTTTTTTTAAAATTTTTTTGTTTAATTAACACATATTATTTCAGGGGTAGTAAATAAAATCTTAAAAAAAAAAAAAGAAGTTACAAAGATTTATCTTTCATATTTAGGCCTGTTATTGCACCCAGAATTGATTTTAGTGAATGGTATGGAACAGGATCAAATATCATTTTTTCTACAAGTATAGCTAACTATCCCATTATCCTTCCTTTTTTTTTTTTTAAGATTTTATTTATTAATTTGACAGAGAAAGAGATCACAAGTAGGCAGAGGAGCAGGCAGAGAAAGAGGGGGAAGAAGGCTCTCCGCCAAGCAGAGAGCCCGACACCAGTTTCTATCCCAGGACCCTGAGATCATGACCCAGGCCGAAGGCAGAGGCTCAACCCAGTGAACCACCCAGACGCTCCTCCCATTATCATTTCACCAATCTTCCATACCCCTTTGGTATCAGTGAGCAGGTAAGTCTACATCAGTTCCTAGGCCAAAGTCTTCCTTTGCAAAACCACCCCACGAGGATGGAATTGTCTGCACTTTGCAGGTTAAACTAACCTCTGAAAGGTTAAATAACTTCAGAAAAACTACGTGACAGAACCAGAATCTGAACCAATACAAAAGTAGCACCAATTTTCATAATCTCAAAATAAAGGAGGTTTTTAGTGTTTAGGAGTCTAAAACTCATTGCAAGTCTAACCCCTTCCATCTTACTATTAAACATTGAAATGACTGACTTATTCCTTTTTCTTCTCTCCAAATGATGGGTAAAAAAGGAAGTATTTGTCTTCTATGAGGATTTAAAAAAGTAAATAAAGTATATACTAACTGTATAGAACCATGAGAACAGAGGAAAAGAGCTTTATTTCCTAGATTGCTTTTCCCCCAGTGACTTCATAGGTAACAGGAAGGAAAGAAATTAGGTAGGTAATAGGTAGGTAATAGATAGGAAATACCTATGAAGAAATTACCTTCATAGGTAATAGGTAGGAAAGAAATTTAATTCAGTAATAAACCAGTTTTATTTAAAGCAAGCAAGCTAAATAAATAAATAAAGCAAGCAAGCAAGCAAATAAATTCTACCGTTGAGGTGGATATTCTTAAATTCCAAAATATACATTTGCTGGATACTAAATTCCAATTCTGTTCGGAATTAGAATTGGAATTTAGTATCTATGTTTAAACTAAATGAACAGGGTTAAAGTAGAATATTAATCTATTCTGAGCCCTGG